CGCTTACTTTATTTTTCATTCATATTTCAAAGATATCTGTGCAGTCTTTATATACAAAGGTCTTACCTTATTCCTTCTCTGCTGGGGTTCACAGAATGAAAAAAGACATCTCTAGTTAGAACAGCTACACTGGCACTTTGAATTACACAACTGCATCTTTGGAGAACATGTATGTATCTGCTTTGAAGAACAAGGGAACATAATTTATCCAGTTAAAAACTGGAAGAGATGTTTTTAAAGAAAAAGATATACTAAAAGTTACAAAAACCTCCATTGCCAACAGCAGGCAGAATCATTTTTTACTCTGTTATTCAATCTTAGTAAAGCTGATCAACTCCACACTACAGCTACTCCTTTCTTATTTTCAGCTGCAGTGAAGAATATTGACCTTCAGACATCCATAACCATAGGAAAACATGGAGAAGGCCTTGACATTTGAACTTTTTGCTTCAATATATAAAAAACACTATGTACATTTTTGAAGCCTTGTTTCTTAAATTAGGATGGTTGTGTTTAAAAACATTCCATTTGCTACTATGTAAATTGCAGATCTAAAGTTCCCTTTTCATGCTGCTACCTTGGCAAAAAGGTGGTAGGAGTTTTTGTTCTATCCTGCATGTTCTTCTGGAATCCAAATAATTTTTGTCTTTGTCATGAAAAAGAAAAACCTGCTGCAGTCTGCTTTGGTTTTAATAAAGTGTACACAGTAGCAAAGTGCATTTTTGTTTGGCTTTGTTTGTTTTGATGGTCCCTTTGATGTTGGTGTATGTATATATTTAGATATACTGCACTGTTGTACAAGAATTGTTTTAGTAAATAACACTATTTGTAAAAACTGTTAATTGTTTTTTGGTATGAATGCAAAATATTAAAGTTGGAGTATTTAGTTCATTATGTTGCAAAGTCAATTTATAAATGTTATGGAAGAATATATCTGAAAAGGACTTATTTTGCTGGAAGGGCTTAGAGATAGATACAGTAAGCAAGGTCTGTTAGAAGCACTTAAATTTTCCAGGTTCAGATGGGGTGGAGGTGCGGTTTTTGTTTTTTCTGGTTGGGGAGGATTTGTAGGTTTTTTGTTGTTGTTTGATGCTTTCACATAAATTACATTATCTTTTTTTAAACAATCTGTCACTGATTTCCTTCAGCTAACTCAAATCCGTTGTATATCTTATTTCAAGTATGCTGCATGTCCTCTATCTTTTGGTAAATGCATCATGAGTATTTTAAAGGGATTTAAAAAAAAAATGGAAACAACTGTGTCTGTACAGTCTAATGTATATATTTGGTTACAGAAGAATAACCAGATTCTATGGTAGCTTGACAGTTAATTCCATTTCTGATGACAGCAACACAAAGTAGTGTAGAACCTGGTGTTTTGATCAATGTGAAATGTCTTGAAGATCAGGCTAAAACCTGGTTTATGAATCTTACAAAGCTGTCAGAATTGAAGCTTAGCAGACTTGACAGCTGTATGCTGTGTTCTTGAAACAATGTTAAGCATAAATTTCTTGCTTAAACCAATGTAGACACCTTGGGAACAGTGAGCAGCAGTATCTGTTTGGCCTGTTCTTAGGGTCTCTTCCTAAAACTGTGAGCCAAACCTCTCAGGACAAGAGCTTATGTGGATTGTGGGTTAGTTCAGTAGGATAATTTGTGTCTTTCAAGAGAATATCTATTCAGTTGACAGAATTAAAAGTCCTACAGTTTGTGTAGAAATGAAACATTCTGTTTTGGAACAGGGAGAGGCAATTAATGTTGACTTTGCATTACTGCCTATCTTTTAGACAGAAAGCATTTTTGTTGAGATGCCTATGATGAAAATAGATTTTGAGAGTTTGTTTCATAGTATTTAATGTTTATTGTAAAATCTGTTGCCATTAATCTGGGCAGGATGTAATATAAGCATCAATCTGTATTTAAGGAGCTGGAAACAACTCTTAAACCTTTGAAGAACTGGTTCATATTATATATGAACCAGTTCTCATAGCACTCACTTCATATCACATTTATGGAGACCTTAATGAATTGTCTTATTACTGTAGCTAGTTTTTGAAATCTTTTTCTACTCTGTTGTAGGATAAAGATTATTCTCTCTCACAATATTTGTAGATTGAAGTTTCTGGATTATTTTATGTCAAGTCTGGTTTTGTTGATACTGATTGTGATACATGTTTTAAGTGAGAAATGGGAATTAAGCCATTATGAGAGAACCTGTGGGAAAACTTCCATTGATTAAGGCTGATGTGCACTTTCTAAAATTCACATCAATCCTGGGAGTGTACACAGGCAACATGCAGTAATGCAGATAGTCATATAGGGCTAAAAAAGGCAAATACGTATTTTGAGCTAAAGGTTTAGAGCATTTTTAGCATACAATATTTTGATATAATATATAAGGAATGTGTTGATTGTAGCAGCTAATATTTTGCTTTGACTTTGCATGGGTTTTGATCCTTATGCATGCACCTTTGATTGCTAACAAACAGTGCAGCTTGGTGACATCACTGCCTTAGCAGCTGTGCTTCAGACCCTCGCAGAGGAGCAGAATCCAGCAGGAACGTGGGGGTGCTTGGCAGAGCCTGCCATCATTGGAACAATGCTCAGTAGCACAAACTCTGACTGGCCAGTGTCTCTGTTTACCACTTTCTGGCTACAGGAAGCACACATATCAAGGAATGGAACCCTTCAATATGTACTTACCTGGACCTCTCACAATTTTGAAGCTTGATTTACTAATGAGGCTCTGACTGCTACTGAAATCACACTGCAATCTATTTCTAGCTGGTTGTGATGGCTCACTCCTGTTGACTCATGCATCCTCACGTAATATTTGTGGATTATGCAGATGTGTTTTATTTTGCAGTCTATGTGTCAGACTGTCCCAATTTACTGTGCTTCTTAAAGGAGTGTGAACAGTTAGTTCCCTTGATTTTAATGGCTTTTAGACTTGTGAAAATTTCTTCAAATTAGTCTTTTTCTTTGCCTTGTGAAATACTGTCATAGCTGATGCTGAACAATGGTTAGGTAAATCCTTCAGCAAAAATCATATGGCCTGATGATTTATAGGTAACACAGTGATTTTCATAAAAATACGTTGGTTTATGTAAGAACAAATGGAAGTCTCCAGCGAATGGAAGAGAAGTCGTGGTTCTCTGAACCTGAGTTTGAGCACAGGGTCAGGACAAAGCATCTCACTGAAATGTGGTATTGAAATTTTCAGATAAGTTGGTTGGGATTTTTTTCAGAGCAATCATGGGTGGTGTCTAAAACACTCTTGTTAGGGGTGTGTTTTTTCAGAGAACTCTTTCCTCCTTGTGGGGTGAGACAAAACAAGTACTTTAGAATTTTTTGCTTTACTCAAATCCACATTCTCACTTTTTAGCCAGTTTCTCTGCAGTCATGATTAAATTTATCTGATTGTGTGGCTAATGACACTCCACTATATCCACTGGGATATAGCATTAGCAGTTTTAAAGCTCTTCCTGCTTACTTTATAAAGTAGGTGATTTTAATTCAAAAGTTTATTTTAGTAAGCTTGTTCTTTCAAAACAGACATGTTTTCTACTCTTGAACACTTCTTCTGGGTAATCAAGGCCTTCTGTAAATGTTAGCTGTTCCTTCCAAGGTTTCAGAGTCCCACTGATCACTTCAGGGGACAGCTGTGTGTGCTACTTGCTTAGAGCAGTTCCTAATTGCCTCTTCCAAGAACTAGACTCCTTGAATTTGCCCATCCATAAGTCTCAATTTGACACCAGATTTGATCCTAAGCTTTCTTTATTTAAGACAGACAGTAGGTAGCATGAAACAATTTTGTATATCTGTGAACAGCACTGAGGAGCAGCATTCAGTGGAATCCTGTACTGCAGCAACAATGCAGGAAGTCCGAATCCCAGCTCTCCTCTATATATATTCAATCAGTTTCATGTAGCATATGTATTTCCTAATGGTTATCTCCTGTTATATACTTTCTCATAGTTGATCCTTGCAGCAAACATGCCCAGAAATACTAATGGTTAATCATAAATCTAATTAATTTCATATATACACTTACATGAAACCTTTCTCTCTCTTTCTCTCTCTGGATGTTCCCAGTCTGCAGATTGTCCTTCTACATAATGCAGGTGTGTTATGGAGCCTTTTATCTTGTTTTCTGGAGTACAGACAGTCCTAATCTTTAACCTCTGAAGTACTGTGTCCCTCATCACTGGTTCAGTCACACAATTGTTGTAACTGGGCTTTGTGTTTTTAATTTTTCTGCAATATCACTTTGGCCTATAGGGTATTCTTTACATAGCACCTTGCCATTAACTTGGGATCATTGCTTTCTTATTCACTTTTTCTCTTCATGGTGTAGTTTCACCAAGGGAATTGGCCAGGTTTCTCTTCCTGGTGGTGTAGTTTCACCAAGGGAGTTGGCCAGATTTCAACCCAGGAAAGGAGCACCTCTGTTCTTGGGGACCAAAGTTTGGTTCCAAGATGTTTAGTGATACATGCTGATAGTTCCATCCTGCTTGCTAATTTTATTCATTGTAGGATTCAGAAATATAAATACTGTAGTTTGTGTGGCAAGTCCATCATAAAATTTCATGTGTAGGTTGCCATACACTGTGTGTTCCTTTTTAGATTCACAGAATTATAGAATGGTCTGTGTTGGAAGGGACCTTAAAGATTACCTAGTTCCAAATGCTCTGTCATGGACAGGGACACCTTCCTATTCCTCAGAACCATATTCAGACTGGCCTAGAACACTTCCAGGGATGGGGCATCCACAACTTCCCTGGACAACCTCTTCTAAACTGCTGTTAAGAATTGTTGTTATTACATTGCAATACAGTTTCACAGGTAGGCAGCAGTCAGGTAAAAACTGCATTGACCTCCTACATGTTCAATTTATTTTTATAATGTTCTACTTCTGTATTAAGGAATATAATCTCCTGCCTCATCACTGCCAGATCAGTTTTTATCAGCAATCAATCTTATCAACAAAGTCAGAAAAAAGTCTCCTTTTCATGATTCCCTCTTAAACTCTGGGATCCTTCAGGACAGCTGTAGCATTGTCTATATATTCACAGAATATTTAAGCCTGCCTTTTACACAGAGTTTACTAGAATATGAAAAAAAAAATTATCTATTTTCTTTTTCCACTGGAGTTACAAAGTCCTCTGGAAAATTAAGGACTTGGCCCCTGAGGTACAATAGTCTTGGATTGATTTCTATTAAGACTAATAATCAGTTCTGGATAAAATCAGTGTCTGTAGCACAAGACTAAAGAGATTGTATTTCATTTGAGAAAGTTGGTAAAAAAGGATCTTTGCCTTTGATAGGAGAATGCATATTCAGGTATTGATGCAGATGTCACCTTTGGCATATGCTTTGCCATGGATAGTAATCTTTCCCTCACTGATTTTTCAGTCTTTCAGTGATTGTGACTCCCATTGCAAAACTGTAAGGGATGTTTTGCTGTTAAGTGGATCTTAACTACAGATTCAGTCTGACATTATTACCCAGAAATTCTTTGTCTGAATTTCTCAGCTAAACTAGACTTGACAAGTTATCCATAGCTTGTTACAAGTATTCAGTCTTTTTTATTTGTAATATTTGTTTGTCTTGCAGAGATGAACAGAAGAGGCAGCTGTTGAAGGTATCTCTGGCAAAATATGGAATGTCGTAGTCAATATTTTGGGGTAATTTTCTATTTTGCAATAGCAATGACAAGCAAGAGGCCATAATGAAATTATTCTAATCCCTATTCTTAGTGCTTCACTGCTAAATGTGGCTTCAGTTTGGTTGAGAATGGCATGTGGGGCAAGGTCTTAAGGAATTGAGAAAGGTGGAGAGGTTGAAAGAAAGCAAGCGAGAATTGGAGATGAATGATGCAATTAGTAGAGACAAAGAAAGAAAAAGACTTTGTACAAATAAATGAATCTTTAATAATAAAGCTTTGTTTCTAGGAGGTCACACATGCTTTGTATAGAGGATTCATCCATAGAATCCCTCAATTTCTGTAAACCAAGCAGTACTTTAAGTCTGCGTCAAAAGTAAACCAGGCCTCTGAGTGAAATCAGAGTTATGGCATGTTCTGTAGTTTCAAGAGATTTACAGAAGTTTTCTG